CTGGCTGTATGAATGGGACATTTGTGCTCTAGGGGGAGCTCTGTGCCCTGTGACCTGTGCAGCTGTCAGAGGTGCAGCCTAATGGCCCGAGGGAGTGGGCTTTCCTGCATCCCTCACCGGCTGTTCTGCTCAAGTCCTGAAAACAAAGGCACAAAGTAGTCATCTCAGACTTGAAATATCAGTGCTTCAAAACATAATGTAGACGGTGGGTGGTCCAGACGTCTGCAGATTACCGTGGGCTCCTTCTTGAACTTTTGCTGTCTTGTGTACACCAGGTCCTGTGGAAGGTTTGTGGAGGACTCCCTTTTCACGCTCCTTTTTCAGGCGTGCTGCTCACCTGCAGTTACCTCATCATGTGATGGTCGTTCTGGTATTTTTTTACCTTTCTTTTTAAGTGTGTATGTTTAAACTTTTATGTGAATGGATGGGTGTCTTGCCTGCAGTATGTCTGTGTACCGTCTTTGTGCCTGACGCCTGTGGAGGGAAAAAGATTGCTTTGGTCTCCCTGGAACTGCATTTACAAATGGTTCTGAGTTGCCATATTGGTGCTAAGAATTGAATCTGGGAACTGTGGAAGCACTGTCAGCGCTCCTAGTCATCATCCTAAGGACTTAAGGTTAGAAACAATGATATCTCGTTACATTGAAGGATTCTACAAAAATAATGTTCCCTGTGTGTGAAAATAATATGTATATATTTGTCCAAGTAAATTTGGAACAGTTAAGAGTGCAAATAAAACTGAAACTTAAAGTCAAAAACTTAAATTCCATTGAGCTGTTGTAATTGTGCTTAGCAGTTTGTGCTAGAACAAACTGTAATAAGTCAGTTTGGTATGCCATTGTTCATAGAGCATTCTTCAGAAGAACCAGAAGCAAGAAGTGCTTGCCTGCCCACCGGCAGACGAGCATGCACAGAAGATAGAGGATGTGTGTATGAATGTATTATCCTGCCACAGAAAGAAAAATGGTGCTGGACAAAGAGCTGGATAAGAAGGGAAAACAATGTATAATTTTATGTATATGCACTATCTAGAATAGACTTTCTTAGTCAGGAAGTAGATTAATAGATTACCCAGGGATGAGGGAAAGGACCCAGGAAATCCACCAGGTTGTCTGCAAGTACCTTTACTGCTGTGCCATTTCATTGCCATATAGATATTTTAACACACACGCACACACACACACACACACCCCTTTACTGCTGCATCGTTGTTATACATATTTCATTGTTATACAGATATTTTAACAAGTACACACATTTGCATATATATTTTAAAATATTTCTATATATTTAACATATATATATATATATACACACACACACACGCTTATATATATTTAAAAATAAAGTCTGTATCCTTTAAGGACTTGAGACTAGTTTATAATTTTACTTCTGACTGAGGCTAAAAATCTTCCATATATGTATATTATATTATATATATATATAATATATATTGTTTTGTTTTGTTTCAAGACAGGGTTTCTCTGTATAGCCTTGGCTGTCCTGGACTCTGTTTGTAGACCAGTAGACCAGGCTGGCTTTGAACTTACAGAGATCCACTTGCCTCTGCTTCCCTGAGTGCTGGGATTAAAGGCGTGTACTACCTCACCCAGCTTATTTATATTCTTTATTAGTTATTTTTCTTATTGCTGTGAGAAAATACCCGATTAAAGAAGAGTTTATTTTGGTCACATTTCATACCTAGTTATAAAGTGGAGACTGACAAATGCGGTGCTTGGCTTGGTTGTTTTTTTTTTAATATCCTGCTCAAGACCTCAAACCATGGATTGGTATCACCCAGTCTCCCCACCTCTGTTAACCAACCCTAGATAGTCCTTTGAATGCATGGCCAGAGGCCGGCTAGCCTAAGCACAGGTGCACAAAGACACTTATCTCCTGGGTGATCTCAGATCCTGTCAGGTTGACAGAATTGACCATTACACATGCATAAAGTTCTGTGATTGTAATTGGGTACTGTGCTCTGATTTACCCTCTGTCCCCCATTGCCATTCCCCACTGATTGAATGTGATAACCTGCTGCTTTTCTGGGTTAACATTTCATTGTGAGCAGTTTCTGAGTTAACCTATGTACATATCTAAGTGTGCTCATGTGTGTAGTTGATTAGGTAGTAGTACCAAATAGTTATATTAACATGTATGCTTTGATTGAGCAGTAATATCTTTGACAATACTGATTTACTGTAGGTAAAACATTTTATTTTAGTGAACTATCTCAAAGTGGTGGCTGGTAGCGCATTCCTAAAGTCCAGCCCTGGGGAAAAGGAGGGATTGGGGGGGGGGAGAGGTCAGTTTGGGCTATGTGAGATTGTCCTAAACAAAAGAAATCAAAACAAAGCAGCAGTCAAAGTGCATTTGTAACCATAGTCTGCCTTTTCCTTTAGATATAACATTATTATACCTACGGTCTGTGTGTTACATCTAGTAAGTGTATGCATGTCGGTTTTAAAATTACTTTATGTGTGTGACTGTTGCTGGAGTGTGTACCTGGTACCAGTGGAGGCAGAGGAGGAACTGGAGCTACAGACAGTTATGAGCTGTGTGACCGTATAATTGTTAGGACAGTTGTGACAATGTGTGAGCTGAACTCGGGTCCTGTAGAAGAACAGCAAGGCCATCCCCAGCTACGCTTCAAGTTTTCTTTTTTTTTTTTTTATGTAACCTACAATCATCACATGTCAGGTTAGCCAGGCTGGAAGGTGGCTCCTCGCATCTGTGTTGACATTTCTGTGGACAGTGAACAGGACCTGCGTGTGTAACCTCTGGAATACTGACACAGTAGCACTGCCTGATGAGGTCAGCCGCACAACTCCTCCATCCTCTGCTTTGTTCTTTCTGGGAAAGGCTAGATACTGTGATGATCCTGAGCAGTCTTAGGGGGGTCTTCCTGGCTAGGAACTTGAGGCTTTGCCAGAAGCCTGTGAAGGAGCTTTTTAAAAAAGCAGATCTTCCAGCTACAGTCACTTCCAGAGAATTGTCACTGGCCAAGATCTTATCTGTGACTTCTGAGGCTCTAAATAAGAAACGCCCAGTCAGACTGCACCCCAGATTGCTAGCAGACAGAAAATGTAAGGTGGTAGAAGTTTAACGCAGTAAGATAGTAGGTTTGGGGAGCATGCCCATAGAGCCTTTGAACTTGGCTTGCAGATTACTTTCAAAGGTGGCTGGGATAGTGTCTGGCAATTGTCAGACCTCAGACTGGGAATTCCAAAGCTGGACTCCTTACTGAGCCACGTTCCCTCCCCAATGTTCAAACAAAACCCACACATCTTCTCTCTTCAGTGCAGGGCTGGGCCATCTGGGGTGCTAGGCAGGTGTTTCCCACCAAGTTTCAGCTCCAGCTTCTCCCTTCTTTGAAAGCACACATAGGAGCTGCAGTAGGGAAGGAATGAAAATTATTGTCCAGTCATTGAACAGTTGCTATTTGTCTCTAAGCTTCATTACTAGTGAGGTCCTTGATAGGAGTCTCAGTTCTACATTTCTTAGAGGTCAGGCTTTAGACCTAGGTGGAGTTAAGTACGTGTTTAGTGGAATTATTCTAGTGGAGGCTGAGTGGGCAAAGGCATTTGGTGCCAAGCCTGAGCTCTATCTCTGGGACAAGGAATAAGGAACGAACTGACTCCTTCAACTTGTCTTCTGACTTTTATGTGTGTGCTGTGACGCATGTGTACCTCCTGTCCCTCCCTAATAAATTGTACTTTAAAATGTAAAGAAAACAATTTAGAAGGGCTATTAATTAAATCTCAGAAGCTGCCATCTCAAGCTTGGTACTTGAGTCGTTATTAGATAGCTATAAAGATGACCCTTCCTGTTATGTCCAGAAAAAAATGCATTCTAAGCCACTCACAGCTCTGGAGTATGACACTGACTTGGAGTCCCTGGGTTTAGGATGTGTTGTTATTCTCTGGGACCAGGTGGGAGAAATACCTACCTGTGTCTCTTCCTCTTGAGATGGGATCTTGTGTGGCCTTGAACTCTCCATCTAGCCTGAGGATGACTGTTTCTGTTGCCTCCAGAAACCCTTTACATAACAGAAAATAGTGGTTTTTCTAGTTTTGGGAAATGGTGGCACCACCAGTTGCTCAAGTCAGGGTAGATTTTACCTTTGGGTTGCCCTTCCTTATTCTTGTGGATCTGTCTTATCAAAAAGTCGTTTTGCAATAGTGTCTTACATCTGTTTGTCTCTCACTATCCTAAATCATGCTGTGATAGTTGTCTGCTCTCTCTACTGCCTGGTCTTGCCCTCTGTACATACAGCTGAGATAGGTTATCTTTCATAAAGCAGATTGAGAGTGTCCTCATGCTTACACCTTTAGTGGTTTCCAGCTACATTCAGATCCCTTCCTTATGCCGACTTCATGGTTTCATCTCTGACAACATTTCCAGTTCTCTCCTACATTTCCCTTCAGTCTAGTATGCTTTAGCCTTCCTGCTCTGTAAGCTGGGCTTTTCAATATGGAGGCCAGACGTAACTGGTAAGCTGTTGAGTGCTTCATCTGTGGTTGGTGTGAATTGAGATTGTGGGTAAGTGTGAGATACATGTTGACTCTGACGTTGGCATTAAAGAATGTTATGCATGTACTCATTTACCTAGTTAAATAATGTTTGACTATATTAAGTCAAATGAAATGTTTTTACTTTATAAAACTGTAGTTGCCAGAAAAATTTAAGTAGTTATAATATATTAAATATTTATAACAGTAACAGTTATAACAATAAATAATTTTTAATAGTTACAATTCTTAAATTGTGTTGCACCTTACATTTATTTAGTTAGTTAGTTTTGGTTTTTCGAGACAGGGTTTCTCTCTGTAGCCTTGGCTGTTCTGGACTCACTTTGTAGACCAGGTGGCCTCAAACTCCATTTGTCTGTCTGTCTGTCTGTCTATCTGTCTATCTATTTACAGTGTTGACTCAGCATATTCACTTCTCTTCAATTTATGTTAAGTTAATTAAAAAAAAAATAGCAAAGACACTGCTGGACATGTTGGGTAGAGTCCAGTCATCTCTGTGGTTTTCTCTGGTAAGGGCTGCTCTCTCCACTCCTTTGTCTAGGAGGAGTGGATCAGCAAAGTCTTGCTTCATCAGACTTGGCCTTCTTGGTCCTCCAGTTTATTTGATTTTTTTTGAGACAGGGTTTCTCTGTGTAAGTCTTGGCTGTTCTGGTATTCACTCTGTAGATCAGGCTGGCCTTGAACTCCGAGATCCGCCTCTCTGAATCCCGAGCGCGGGAACTAAAAGTGTGCACCACCATTCCTGGTTCTAGGACTGCTGTTCAACCCATAAAATTAAAAGAAAATTATTCATGTATGAGTGTTTTGTGTACATATATGGTACAAACTGGAAGAGGTCATCAGATCTCATTATAGATAGTTGTGAGCCGCCATTTGGTGGCTGGGAATTGAACTCAGGACCTCTGGAAGAGCAGCCAGTGTTCTTAACTGCTGAGCCATCTTTCTAGCCCCAACCCATCAAATTTTTTTATTTCCTCAAAGCTTTTGCATATGCTGATTTTAAAAGTTTTTTGGCCGGGTTCTTTGTACAGTTGTCTTCTTCCTGCTCATTTTGTAGTCCTGAGCTTTGCTGTCCTTTGAGAGGTGGTGCTAACCACCCTTCAAGTCCTGAGGTTGTGGCTCATGTTGTGTTTCTCCTTGTTTGTTGCCTCACTTTTGGTCTGCTTTTTTGACTGGCTCTGAAAGGAACATACCTGTTTTGCTTATGACTTCACTTTCAGTTAGGTTTTTACTTGTTATTGCTGTGTATTGATGCAGGCACGTGTGTGTCATGGCAGCTGTAGAAAGGTTAGAGGACAGCACATGGCAGGCAGTTCTCGCCTGTGAGTGCTAGAGATTGAACTCAGCTGTTCAGGCGTGGCATCACGTCCATCTTGCCATCCCTACGTTTTCAGTGATCCTTCACAGTAAAGCCTACATAAAATTTTTCAGGTATTTTAGAAGGCTCAGATCTATGTATATAACACACACACACACAAACACACACACACACACACACACACACACATATACACACATATATGAATTATTGACTGTAAAGGACCGAGCTTTTTCATAGAAATGTTATTTATATGGAAAGAAGCTTAAAAAATTGGTCATATGCCCAAGTAGAAATTAAATCAGTTCAGCCTGCATTTCAGTGTGTTCTGCAAACCCTGTGCTTCATTGTTTACATGCTGTTACTGTAATAAGCTGCCTTGGTCATGGTATCTCTTCATAGCAATAGAAAAGTAACTAAGACAGACATTGGTACCAGGGACTGGGGATTGCTGTGAGGCCTGACGGTGCTGCTTATAGGAGGGAAGTGGACTTAGTAAGCGAGGCTTCATGAGCCGTTCTGGTAGGAGCGCAGGAGGCCATAGTGCGAAGAGCAACCCTGGCTGTGTATGGAGGCCCAGATCAAGAGACTAAAGGGAGGGCAATATTGGAGACTGTTTGTGTTACCTTTTGGCAGAGAATGTGGTTGTTTTCTGTCCAAAAATGTTTGCTAGAGTCTAAATTAAAGAGTTTTACACTGGTGGTTCTTAAGCCATGGGTCATGACCCTTTGTCGGTTGAATGACCCTTTCGCAGGGTTGCCTAAGCCGCTCCTGCATACCAGATACTTACGTTAGGATTCACAGCAGTAGTACAGGGAGGAAGTTGCAGTGAGAAGATAATTTTAGAGTTGGGGCTCAGCACAGCATGAAGAACTGCATTAAAGGGCCGCAGAGGTTTCAAGACAACCTAGTATTGCTTGTGTCTCGTGGTTATTAGTAATCTTATGCTGATCTGCAATGAAAAAAGCATTCTGAGTCGAGAGAGAGAGAGAGAGAGAAACAAAGAAAAAAGAAACAGAAAATACAGAGTTTGAGGAGAGCAAGATCAGAGGTTTAATGTTAGTGCCAAGTCTTGATGCTCAAAGAGCTAAGGAAAGTGGAGAGGGAGGAGTGGTGTCCTTGGGCTGAGACCCCACACAGGCAATCTCTCAATCTGTGGAAAGAAAGAGGTTTAAGGAATTATCCATTCCTAAAGAGCAGCAATGAAGGAAAGTTTATAAGACTGTAATTCAGGGTAGGGTCCAGATTCCAGTTCAAGCAGGAAGAAGAACTGGGGAGGGTGGCCCCTAGTTCTGGATTAGGGCTTCAAGAATACGGGATAGAGCTGTGGCACATGCCTGTAATTCCAGCACTCAGGGAGGCAGAGTCAGGGGATCTCTGAGTTCAAGGCCAGCCTAGGCTACAGAGCAAGCCCAGGACAGCTAGGGCTACACAGAGAAACCCTGTCTTGAAAAAACAAACAAACAAACAAACAACCAAATAATAAAACAAATGAACCAGGTAAAGGCTGTGGAGTCGTCCTTCACAGGCGAGGCTGGCGTGCAGCGAAGGAGCCCGTGTGAAGGCCAGGGGAGGCATTGTGTGAAGCTGCCCAGGTGAAGCCTGGATTGAGCTGGGGTCCCCGAGCTGCTGGGACGCAGGAGCCAGGGGCATTTGCAGGGAGAGCTGCGTAAAGGAAGTGGAACTGTCCGAAGACCAGAGAGCTAGAGGTGAGCGATTGGAGAGCCATCTGAGCCTGTTGACCTCAGACAGGGAGCTGTAGGAGTTTGTTTTTCAGTCCTGCTTTGGTCCCTTTCATCCCTTTTGGAATGGTAATGTATGCTCTGTGCAGTTGCATGTTGGAAGTATGTAATTGGCCTTTTGAATTTACAGTTAAGCTATTGCCTTGAGTCTCAGACAGTACTTTGGTCATTGGACTTTAAATGGTGTTGAGTCTGTGAAAGAACTGTGGGACTTTTGAAATTGGATTAAATGCATTTTGCACTTTGCTATGGCTACAAGCCCATGGGGACTAGAGAATATGGTGGTTTGAGTGAGAATAGTTCCTGTAGGCTCATATATTTGGATGTCTGTTGCTGTGAAGAGACACCTGTTCAAGGCGACTCTTACAAAGGAATTCATTTAATTGGGGGCTTGTTTATAGTTTAGAGGCTTAATGAGTTACCGTCATGGCGGGGACCATGGTGGCCTGTAGGCTGGCATGATGCTGGAGAAGTAGCTAAGAGCTTTACATCTTGGTCCTCAAGCAGCAGGTGAGGAGAACACTGGGCCCGGAATGGGCTTTTGAAACCTCAAAGCCCAGCCCTTCGACACACATTTTCCAACAAGGATACCCCTACTCTAACCAGGATGCCCTTCCAAAACTATCCCAGTAGTCTACCAACTGGGAACCAGCACACAAATACATGAGCTCTTTCCCTTTCCCTCTTCCCTCTCTTCTTCTCCCCCCCCCCCCCTCTTTCCTCCCTGCTTTGGATCTGATGCAAGCTCTTAGCTGCTGCTCCAGCATTGTGCCCACCTGCCTGCCTGCCTGCTGTTATGCTTCCCACCATGATGGTCATGGACTCACCCTCTGAAACTATAAGCAACCCTCCAATTGAATGCTTTCTTCTATAAGTTGCCTTGGTCATGGTGTCTTCTTCAGGGCAAAATAGAAGAGTGAGGAAGGCAACTGGGGAAGAGAATGGTTGTTTAAGCAAAGGGATTTTATTCAGCCGTAAAGCAGAATGTGATCGTGCTGTCTCCAGGAAAATGGCTGGTCATCACGTTAAGTAGCCATTCTCAAGAGATCCAGGCATGCTGGTGCACACCTGTAATCAGCGTTTGGGAGGCAGGGATGGGGCTTCTCTGGGCGTTGAAGCCAGCCTGCGTTACACTGTTCCAGGAGAGCCAGGGCTGCATAGACTGTCCTAGACAACAGACAAAGCAAAACCCTCACCTCTCAGGACCCTAAATCTCTTTCCTCATTTGGAATCTGAGGAGGAAGACAAACTAAAATGGAAGCGGCAAATGAGGAGAAAGGATGTCTTAGGAAGGAAGGTTGGAGAGGTGGCTCAGCAGTTAAGAGTGCTTGCTGCTCCTGCAGAGGGCCTGGCTTTAGTTCTCCGCGACCACACGCTCGCTCACAGTCACATTACTCTAGTTCTAGGGATCTGACACCCCCTTTCCTGACCTGTGGGCACAAGGTACACACTAGTGGTATACACGCAGGCAAAACATGCATACAAATAAAATCAATATTAAGAAACTTAAAAAGGTCTTAGAGGATATGATCACGGTGCACATAACGTGTATGTCTGTTACAGTAAACCCTCTGTGCAGTTAGTCTTTGCTAATTAAGAACACTTGTACCACACAACCTCACACCAGATACTACATTCTAGGAAACAGGATGGGGAGAGAAGAGAAGCTAAAAATTTCAAAGCAGGTTAACAACAACAACAAAAATAACAGGATAATTATAGCATGAAGAGTAATTTTTGTTTTGTTTTGTTTTGTTTTTTAAGACAGGTTTTTTCTGTGTAGCCCTGGCTGTCCTGGAACTCACTCTGTAAACCAGGCTGGCCTTGAACTCACAGAGATCCGCTTGTCTCTGCCTCCCAAGTGCTGGGATAAAAGGCGTGCATCACAGCTGCCCTGCACAGAGAGTAATTTTATTATACATGGAATTGTAATCTAAGAGCAAAGCTAAAAACCTTGTGCTGCTTCTGGCCTACTTACATGTTTGTAGTCTCAGCACTTAGAAGGCAGAAGTGGAGGATGACATGTTTCAAGATATAGGGGGGGCTACATAGTGGGACCCTAACTGTCTTAGGGTTTCTGTTGTTAGGATAAAACACCATGACCCAAACCAAACCAAACCAAACCAAACCAAACCAAACAAAAAACAAGTTGAGCTGAAAAGGTTTATTTGGTTTATTTATTTATATACTTCAAGGTTGCTGTTCATCATCAAAAGAAGTCAGAACAGGACCCCAAACAGGATAGGGACCTGGAGCAGGAGCTGATGTAGAGACCATGGAGGGCTACTGCTTCTTGGCTTGCTCAGCCTGCTTTCTTACAGAACTCAGGACCATCAGCCCAGGGATGGCACTGTCCAAAATGGATTGGGTTCCTCCTCATCAATCACTAATTCAGAAAAGGCCTTACAGGTAGATCTTATGGAGGCATTTTCTCAGTTGAAGCTTCTTCCTTTCAGATGACTCGAGTTTGTGCGCTAAGTTGACACAAGCCCAGTCAGTACCCAGACGAGAACACATCCCACACATGGTAAAGTGCCT